TCGATTACGCCGGGTTGTTGCGTTGGATGGCGTCCAGTTTGGCGATCGTGTTCGTGCGGACACCGCTTGGATATGCTCACAAGCAGTAATTTTGTCCGGAATGCGTTTACCCAACAGCTGTTTCATTGGTCCCTCTACCGAGGACGGTGGACGTATCACTTTGGGTCCAGGTCCCGGCCGATTGGTCCCTCGGTCGGTAATAGTTTCTCCCGGTCCAAATGATGTCATCTTGGATCCAGCTGTTGGTGGTTCCCGAGTCTGGGCAGCGTTGTGTACTGACAGATCAGATCAGGTCAGGTTTTAGACGCGTTTTTAGTTCCCCGTTCATCGAATTTGTGTTTATTCTACTAGTGCTATCTTTCTGCCATGAATTTCTAGTGGAATAATTCCGGTTCTAATGTTTCACCTCGATCCTGCTGGCAGACGAGTAGGCTTTCTGCATATTTCGGATGTCAGCCTGCCATGCGCAGCGGTGGTCGGTAGTGAAATTAATACAACCGATGATCCGATGATCTTGGTTCCACAAACGGGATTCTCCGACCGAGTTTAAGCCCAGGCGTTCCGCCTCTAAAGTAGGTTCCTCCTCCCCCAGGTATCCACAGGAACGCGACATGAAATCGCATTCCAAGCACCTTTCGGCTTTTTGGTTAAATTGTGCACATCCAGGTGATAGCTGCCATGTGTACTTTCTCAATCAATTGCTTTTAAGGGTCTCAACCAGTTTTAACACATCTATTCAGCGGTCCTCTCGGGTTACGGTCGATGAACACTGGTAAGCAGCTTCTCGGAGCCACAGATGAGAGCCTCAGTTTCATATTTCGCAACCGTGAACTATGCGTTTTCGTTTTATTTAACACGTAATCAATTACAGAGAACTAGCGAATGCGCCACAACATATAGACAGAAAGAACTTTGAAGAATGTTTTCATTAGCCGGTTTTGGTTGCCCATTTGAATAAAAAAGCATAATGAAGATTGGAATGTTGAGAGAGTCAAAGTAAAGATAGAAAATTCAAATAGACTAAGGTTGCAAGAATAATTAGTAGATGCATGAGCGGCACTCAGCCCTATTACTCTGTCTTTAACTACCGGTCAACATAATCTCCGGGTCTCCATCCAGGAAACAACGGTTTCCATGTGACGCAGTTTCCTGGTTAGAGTTTTCACACCCTCATACTAGGTCTTAGTTTGACCGCCCTTAACTTTTTTCCATCCGCTGCCTGTCTCGGCAAACGTCGTTCGCCGTGACAACCTATTTGGTGACAGCACATGAGAGCCTTTTATCCAGTGAGGACCGAAACTTCGATGAATAGCTCAAAGTAACACACTCCTCCAATTAGAAGTTCTGCTTCTCTTTGTCACCCCGTATTCGTGAATATGGGCCCAAATAACCAGTTTGTGTGTTTCACTTCGACCGGTGACAAGCGGTGGATGCGGAATGCAGCTTCTTGAGGGACTCAACAACTCCATATACATTCATATACATTTCTGATGCAGAGTGTTACTGTTTCTACACAACGCTCCATTGCCTTACAAATTAGGATTCGTTGTGTCCGTATCCCGAGTGATCACAATGTACACACAATAAGATATCACACGATGACACACAAGGAACACACGTACATCAACGACCACACTAGTCGTCTAGCCCCACGAGTACGATCACAGCACAGATTGGACTCCACGAGCATTAGTAGCCTTCTCCCAGCTACGTAAGCAAGAACACAGATAGTGCACAGCGAACGTGTACTTGACACACAGGAAGCAAGTCAATTTACAAGTTTTACTCTGATTCTTATATGTGACTCAAAATAGCATCGATTAATGCAAGGAAAAGATTGTGCCAATCAAATACACAATTTGTAAAGTTCGATCGAACATAAGTCACGGAT